TTCTAACAAGGATCGGTTCCAATTCTAATGAAACGTGTTTTTTTATTTATTTTTTATTTCTTCTTTTAAACAATGTTACTAACCCTTGGGCCGTGTGAAACTGTATTAGTTGGAAAAGGATTAGAAAAGAAATTTCCTTGACTTATCAGGTAATCGGGATCTCGAAAAATTCACATTGGAATGAACAGATATACAAGTGAAAAGAGAGCTTATCCATGTTTGAATTTGCTTTCTGTAACCAGAACACTGATAGCTAGATCAAGGGTTTGGTATGATGAAAATATTACAGGGAATTCGCACACTACCACAAAACAAACCCACTCCTAGACCTTACATTAGAGGACTGTTGAGAAGCCCATGCCAAGATGAAGCAATTCCATTTCCATTGAAACTCCAGCTTTCTCTTCCAGAATCAAGATCACCCATGTAATTTCCATCCCCATTGTTGAACTGCCATGGAAATCCCCAAGAAACCATATTTTGATCTCCATTGGGTAGCAACTCTTGCTTCATTGCTGTAGCAGTCTCTGTAGACCCATGTTCAACCTCCCCAGAGCTTCCATTACCAAATCCACTGTACATATTATGATAGTTTTTGTGGGTATCAAAAAGACCCATCCTTCCATTTGATTGATTTAGAAGCTTAGCATAGCTAGAATTGGCAGCCTGATCATGTGATCTCTTTGAAGATGGAGATGGAGAGGAAGAAGATGAAGTAGAAGGTGAAGGTCTTTTGTTCTTCCTGCAAGAGCCACCCACAGGAACATTTCTTAGAGTTCCCCCTTTAGTCCAATACCTTCTACAGGACTTGCAAAAGTACCTTGGCTGGGAGAGACTGTAGTTATTGTAGTAGCAGAACTTGGTGTTGGTAGAATCACATCTTGGGCATCTCAGGACTTGCTCTGGCTGTGGCCTCATTGCCTTTCTGTTTTCTTGCTGCACTTTTGGACATGAAATCACGCCCACCATGTCCTCCAGTGGTCGGGCTTGAGCTTCCTGAAGTAAAATTAAACAAACAAATCAGGAGTTGAAATTAATGGATATCTTGAGAACTTGAACAAAAACCATTCTAATCCTTACTTGTTGGCCGCTTGAATGATCCATTCATAAAACCAGCGAATGGATGAAGGTTGGAAGACTGAGTTCTGTATTTGCTATAGAGAGAGAGAGGTTTGTTGAGAAAGGGGTAACGCAGGGAGATAAATAGATGGGTGGAAGGTAGGGAACACTTGGCAGCCGGGTCCTACATTGGCTACTTTAGAGAATGATCATGGATTTATAGAATACATATTCATTGGAATGAGACCTTTTGGGAAGCCTAAAGCAAAGCGACGAGAGCTTATGCTTAAAGTGGATAGTATCATATCATTGTAGCTCGTGGTTCGCAACACGCTCAGGCTCAGGAAAGAGAAAGAGGAATAGAGAGGGAGAGAGAGAGATAGATCTGTAAGTTAAGAATAACTCTCTCCTTATCTTTGTACTGTATGTACATGGCAATGCAAGGCCGCTAACCTGATCTCATCAGCCTCGATGTCATCTGGTCTGCAAACGGTCTCAAACGGTCCTGCCGTGGAATTGTCTTTTTCGCAAGTAGAATATTAAATCTTAATTAGGTAACCATTATGATTTATTCATATGTTTATACTATTATTATATATATATATATATATATATAAATAATTATTTTTTTAGAAAATTAAATTTTTACGTGCTATTGCGCTAGCATAAAAATATCAATATTGAGGATTGTTAGGAGGGTGTTTTGCCTTTAGCTAATTAAGAGGATGATCATGAATTTATAAGAAACACTATCTCTATTGGTAAAAGAGGTCTTTTGGAGAAATCAAAAGCAAAATCATCAGAGTTTATGCTCAAAGTGGATAATATCATACCATTATAAAGATTCATGATTCCTAACATGATATTAGAGTAATGTCTTTAACTTAGTCATGTCAATAGAATCTTCAAATGTCGAACTAAGAAGTTATGAATCTCGAAGGTGTAGTAAAAAAGTGACTCAAGTGTCAAACAAAGGGTGTACTTTGTTCAAGGGCTCCAGGGAAAGGAGTCGAGTTTCGATTAAGGAGAGGTTGTTCGAGAGTTCCATAGGCCTTAGGGGAGGCTCTATGATGTAGTTTGTTCGATGGAAAGATTGCTGAGGATTGTTGAGAAGGAGTCCCACATCGACTAATTAAGAAGATGATTATAGATTTATAAGTATGGAATGTATCTCCATTCATTTGAGGTCTTTCCAGAAAATGAAAAGTCACGAGATATGCCTTTTATAATTATATGTAAGGATTATTGAACACGAGTGATAGACGCTTTCAATTATGAAATTGGTCCCACCCTTTACACTATGTTGTCTTTGATTTTCAATATTAAAGAAAAATAATAATCATAAAGTCATTGGTTTGGTTTTTGTCGTGTCTTTAGTGAGATTGTGATCTGAATATGATACAAATTTGATGCTCATCATGGAATTCATGTTTGTTTCTTTCAAATATTCCAAATAACCTTAGTCTAAAGCTCGTTTCACGATACAACTTATCCAAATCTATCACTCGTTGCGCGACACCATTTTTATGAACATTACACCATTGAATGATGAATTCATATCTCCTTTGTTTGGTCGAGAAGAGAGAAAGTCTAAAGAATAGCATTATGATTCTTTTATTACATTACAGATGAATGAAAAATCCTTGTCTCCTAGGTTCGGGTTGACACTATGTGATGAGCCTTATTTTCCTTTTTCCTATGTTATATTCATTTCTCGATGGTCGGTCTCTTACTATATCTCAATTGAGTTCAGTAGTTGCGCAAAAAGATAATCAGCCTTGAAGAGATTTTAAACTTTTACATCAAGGGAACATTAGATTTTATCCTTTCTAAATTTCCTTACTATGAAAAGTCATGGATGAAGTACTCAAGTGACTTCGAGAATTTACACATGTATTAATTTCTCCTGTTCGTAAATAAATGGGCTTTCAGTTAACTTATCAACCACAAGAGCCAAATCAAACGAAATCGACTCCAAGTATCCTAATTTTGTTATCTCGTTCCAGAACCAAAACAAAATTCTTGATCAACTATCCTTTCATAATGTTAGAATTGGCGTGAACATAAATTTGAAACAAAAATTTAGGTAAATAATGGGAGAAATTAGTGTGTGATTGGGAGAAGATTGGTGATGGTAGGTGTGGAAAAATGATAGAAAGGAGAGTGTTTGGAGGATCAACTATCCATTCTTTTTATGCTCAAAACAAAAAAAGATAAACCTAAAATGTTTGGGTTTCATAGGCCTAATCATGAGATAATTAAGTGGGACACACTGAGAATATTAATTAATCAACTTAAATCAATTCTTTGGCTATGGTTATTCCTACTTTTTGGGCTTCATTTAGCATATGCTATAAATAAATATTTCAAATATAAAAAAAAATGTATAGAGTTTTTAGTTCTACGAATACGGCTTTTTATTTTTTTTCAAAATACGGAAAATACCAAATCATTCTCTAATATCAATATTTATATTTGTTCATATTTTAGGTAAATTGTTTGAAAAATATTCTTCAACTAAGATTTAGTGGCCTTGATTAATTCTGATCCAATTAAATTATTGATTTATTTCAATTTAAATAAATTTTACATGTTTTTTTTAAGATAAGTTTATGCCAAATAATATATACATACTTTTATGTACCAAATTTTAATTCAATTCTTTAAAAAATTAATAATAAATATTTTAAGTTTATTAAAAACAAAATTTATTCAGACAAACACAAAATTTTATAACTAGATAGAGTTAAAAAATTTATCCAAAAAAAACATAATATCTCAATCAAACCTAAGTTTTTTTTTTTTTTTTTTTTTTTTTTTTTTTTATAATTCTAAATAGCAGGTCAATTTTTTTTTAAATAGAATGGATAGAGATAATTGTAGCATATTATCATTTTAAGTATCCCCACCCCAATTTTTACATAAAGTAAAAAATATTTATATAATAATAATATAACAATAAACATGATTAACACATAAGTTAAGACAATCAAAATTGGTTTTGAAAAACGGAAAGCAAAACAATTGGATCAAAACAAATTGTATTTTAATTTTTTACAAATAAATTTATATTGAATTGGACAAAATTTAATTCCAAATAAATAGATATTTAAAAATATAGTGAGTAAAATAATAATTTTAACGTCTAGATAAAGCATTCAATACAATCATTGAAGTTGGATCCGAAGCAAATTTATCTTATCATAATATTTTATTTTATTTTTTTAAAAGAAAAAAAAAAGGAAATAATATGATGAGCGACAAGAAGTAAATGGAGTTGTGGGCCAAGGAGAAGAAGTGGGCCCATGGGCCTGGACGATTAGTCCTTGTAGTGGTTGGTTGGTCAAAGAAAATAAACACGCACACCCACACATTATTTTCTAAAAAAAATAATAATTAAAAAAAATGTGGTAAACAAAAAGGGAAAGTATCCATCGAAGAACATGGGGTTGGGTTCTTTTCTCTAAAATCTTCTCATTTTTATTTTTTTTTTCAAAATATTTATTTATTTTTCTAGTTTAAGGACGAATCCATATTTGACTCAAATATTTAATATTTGAATAGATACTATTCACGTTGGCCTAGATCACGGTAGATTTTGATTGATTGAACAATTTCCTTGATTAAAAGCAAGTCTAGTTTTTGATTGATTGAACAATTTCCTTGATTAAAAGCAAGTCTAGTGGTAGCTATACTTAATAAAGTTGTAAAAGAATTGAGTTGCCACCTAAGTAGGTGCTCCTTGTTGCCATTGAAGGTTTTTCAACATTGGGGGCTACTTGGGATCCGTGAGGTAGAATGATGGTCTTCTACCATCGCATCATTGTTCGAAATGGTCATAGTCAAATTCATTCCAGAGTAATTTCAAAACATGTTTTGAAAGTGATTTTTGAAAATGTTTAAATCACTTTAGTCCTAATCAAAATCATCACAAAAAAATGTTTGAAAGGAAACTTGTATCAAATTCACCCCAAAAAATGGGGTTTAGCTGAATTTTCGATGCATTTCAAAATTGAGTCAATGAGGGAGCAAACATTGTCCATTAGCAACACAAATGCGGCCCTAAAGGGGAAACGAACCATATGGAAAATTAACAACGGCGAGTTATTTAGAAGCCGGTTGGTATTCCTTAAGAGCCATGAAACTTCGTATTAGCCCTAAGATTTCACTACGCATATCAGCAACCAAAGATGGGGTAACCTCCTTCGCCACTGCAGAAAACCATAAAAAACCATCTCCACCACCAACCTCTTTCCTCTCCTGCTCATACCACCTGCATATACTTCTTGATATGGCTGTAACATACAAACCACAATCATGTCCATTTACTTGCTGAGGAGACTCACTGCATTCCACATAACTGGGTTCGGATGTCGAATTCGTAACACCCATGAATCTAGCCACAGCTCTGTACAGTCGCTTGGCGGAGGAATTATTCACCCCTTTGCAGCTATCATGATGAACAAATAAGTTTGCTTCTCTGTAAAATACAAGAACACTCCAGTGGTTTCCACCTTCAGCTTTACTAACATCATTGTTGTCATTGACTGGGAAGATTACCAGATTCCTGTCGAGTAGATTGAGTGGTTGTAGGAAATCCTTGAGACCGTCAGTGTCGGGGCAGTTCATTATCCAGAAAGCAATTGAAGGTGGAGATAGAAGGATGTCCTCGGAAGGATGGCATGCGCATAGATAGCTAAAATAGAACTCGATGATTCGATCATTCAGATAACATGGACCATTAAGGATGTCTAAGTCTGCTTTTCTGAGTACAACATCATTGTAGCTTAAGATCTTCTCATCTCCTTCAGACTTGCTCATTTCAGACCAGGTAATCAATCCCTATGAACAAGGGGAAAGAGAACATTAATACCAGGATTCCTCACAATTGAGTAATGAACTTTTGTGAAATAAAATAGGATAAAGATCCACCAGAAAAGTTCCACATATATGTCATGCTGACCTTCCTTGAGTTAAACCAATTTAATACAATCTTTTTCTTGAAAAGGTTTCCTCACAATTAAATAATGAACTTATGTGAAACAAAATAGGATAAAGATCCACCAGAAAAGTTCCACATAATATGTCATGCTGACCTTCCTTGAGTTAAACCAATTTAATACAATCTTTTTCTTGAAAAGGTTTCCTCACAATTAAATAATGAACTTATGTGAAACAAAATAGGATAAAGATCCACCAGAAACGTTCCACATAATATGCCATGCTGACCTTCCTTGAGTTAATTATGCTTTGTTCATCGTCAATATCTGCCAAGTTCTTGACATCTTTCATGAAAGCTCTCGGTAATTGTATTTACATTCACCAGAAAAAATAAGGTTCAGGCCTAAGGGGTGGAAGTTGATGGATTTCCCTCTTTGAATGCCTTCAACTCTTTTGGGTATCATATGAAAGAGCCTATAATCAATCTCTCCAAGAACTCAGAGAAGAATTCTTTCTTTACTCAAAATCAAGATAGCTTCCAATATTCTAATACAAAATCCTACACCCTCCATTTGTAGAGGATTTGTCAACTAAAAGATTATAACTTTTCAACCAATACCACTTGAGCCAACTCCTTTTCAACAATTGCAAGGGTGAGAAATTCAACTATCTATGTCCAGGACTTCCATATTTGAGACGGTACGAAGAGCTCGATCCACTATGCTATGGTGGCAAATCAAACCTACTAAATTAGTCATAACATTAAAGAGAATTCATAATAATTAAAAGATTAAAAAATAACTGCTGTCCTTTGAACCGGATGGAAAGTGTGGTAAGTAATGGATTAATAGTCGAGAATTTCAGTTACTCCCTCCCTCTGTAATTTTCTAGAAACACGCCAGACTTTTCTTGCCAGAATTAGTTCTTGTCTTCAGTTTTACTTGAATTCTTTAAACTCGATCAACCACCAAGCATAAACAATCGAGTTCAAAATAGTATCTAAGTTGGATTAGGGATCTTGGACACACATAATTGCTGCGACAATATCAGCCCAAACTGATTGATTTTACCAGGATTAATAAAATTCTCGGAACCTTCTCAACAATCAAGAAATTGAAGATGCCAATAGAAATGATCTAACATCGCCACATAAATAATATACAAATTTTATGTTCTTCTGGAGAAATTGAAAATAAAGAACAACTGGATTGAATAAGAAGTAGATAAAAATCTTGCAAAGATAAGTAAGAAACAAAACTTACTGAGAGAACAACGAAGATTTCTAAATCAGAAACCGATCTGGAAATTTTGTTCTTGTTCCAGTGAAGAAGTTCCGACGGGAATTGCAGTGCAGGAGATTTCAGTGAAGTTTTGTGTTAGAAATTTCAGTTTTTATAGTACTTCCACTCCCAAAGCTCTGAAGAAAAATGGGGGAAAAACCGCGCGCTTACAAAACTCACAATTTTGGATAATAATTCATTTGAGAAAATATATATGATAATTAGATTTTAAGTATTGTTTAAAAGCTAGTTTTTTTTTTTATAATTAAAATTATTAAATATATCGAAAATTAAAGAAATTTTAGTTAAGTATTAATTTTTGTTTTGAAAGTTGGTGAGAATATTTGAAACGTGGTACTAATAGTTTTGTCCATATACTACCGTTCTATTCTTAAGTTTTTTAATCCGTTTAAATGTGTTTTCGGAGTTGTTTATTTAAAGGTATTTATTATTAATAAAAATTTTGAAAATTTAACACTATTTATGAAATAATTTTTTTAAGTTAAAAAAAATATTTTTGAAAGCCTTCCCAATAGTAGAATATTTTTTAAATAAATATTAATAGTTTCTAAGTTTAAAAATATTTTTATTAATTTAGTAGATTTATTTTGGTTCTTAACTCCATATTTTTTAAATCATATATTTTGGTATAATTTTGAAAATATATTTTTTAATTTTTATTATCGTAAACTAAATATTAACTTAAATCAACCACCTTTCAAGTTCAGTTTAAGTTATTTCACACACATATAAAATTATAAAATGTCAATATTAATATTTGTAGATACTGCTTTCTAATTTTTTTAAAATTTAAATTAAAATTTAAAAAAATGTAGTTTCTTTTAAACCATTTTTTATTTATGCAATTTGATTGAGATTTCGAATAATGACTAAAATAAAAAATAGTAGTAAAGAAATTACAAAAAAAAAAAAAAATGAAAATAGCTGAAAATAAATATTTTAAAAGTTAACCCCAAATATCTATTAATTTTGTTAGAGATGACAGGTTGAGAATAAAAAGATAAAAAAGCAACAATGGAATATGAAAATGCTATAAAGTTATATAAAGTTATAAAGTTACAACTACTTTTCTTATCATTTATTTTCACTCACTTTAAAAATAAAAAATAAAAAATAAAAAATTTTCACGCTTACTCCTAGAACATATGAGAGCCTCATATTTATAAAATGTGTCGGTTAGAAAGAAGTTTCTACACACTTAAACGTAATGCTTCGTTCTTTTTCTAAACAACGAAATTTGTCATGTGAAACTCAAAGTTATTTATTTATTTTTATTATAACAGCCAAAATCATCAATAGCAGATATTATCTGTTTTAGCTATTGTCATGAGTCTCACTTTATAAAATGTGTTGCGTTAGAGAGAAGTTTCTACATAGTTACAAGAAATGCTTCGTTTCCTTCTCTAAACAATGTGAAACCACTCATGTATTAACATTTTTTCTTTTATTATAACGGTTAAAGTCTATCTCACTAGCAGTCCATTTTACGTATTGTCGTGATCTTACGTTTATAAAACACGTATGCTAGGAAGATGTTTCTATATGGTTATAAGAAATGTTTCGTTACTCTCTCTAAATAAATATATTATATTAACATTTTATCCAGAATCTGGTAAGACTCAAATTATTTATTTATTATAAATAAATAATGAGAAAAAGGTCGATTTAAAAAAACAAAAAAAAAAAACAAGGAAACGAATTTATAGTTATGTATTGTATTCTATACGTCGCAGCTTAGACGGATCAATGAATGGAATTACATGGAAGCATTTCTTCGGTTGGCGACCATATTCGTTTACGATTTGATTTGACGTTAAGAAAGCGTTTATTTCAATTTACACAAAATTTTCTTCGTTCTGCAATGGCAGTTGCAAGCGGAAAACTGAAGAATTGACGCACCAGAAATCTCACTCTCCTTCCCCGCGCGGACCAAGGGACTGCGGAACCGAGCTTCAGATCTGAGAGAGAACAGATCTCAAACCGCCGGCGACGGTTTCTGTTTCGTTTCCGGGAAGAAACAATCATGGAAGACTTTTTAGACAATATACCGCCCATGGATCTGATGCGTTCTGAGAAGATGACTTTTGTTCAGCTTATCATCCCTGTTGAGTCCGCTCATCGAGCCATTTCTTACCTTGGCGAGCTTGGCATCCTTCAATTTAAAGATGTATGTTTCCAATTCGTCGTATTCTGCTGTTCTAATCTATAAATGACGTCATTTTGTTTGATATCGAATTTTGCTGTTCTAATCTATAACTGACGTCATTTTGTTTCATATCAAATTTTGCTGTTCTAATCTATAACTGACGTCATTTTGTTTCATATCAAAATTTGCGTGGTGTTGCGTTTGTGTTTTGGCATTTTCTTCACCGTAATTGTTGAAAATTTTGCGTGGTCATCATGATTCAAGCCTGTTCATTATGTTTTATCATTGTTTACGGGGAGTATTACCGGTTTGCCGTTGAATTCTCAGTTCTTACTTGGTTAGATGATTATAAAACTCTAATGTTAGTTAGTAGGTTTGCTTGGTTGCTCAAGAGTTGATGCAAATCCAGTCAATGTGTGAGAGTATGTTCAATGCAATTTGTTTACTGGTTTCACGATTTCTGAATTGCACCACAAGTCACCAGTTGGCTGGATTTATGCCTTGACATATAGAATGCGTAACGGGGAGGTTTTGTGCATTAGACTATTTTAGAATCTAATGGATCAAGCGTCGGGGGCCAAATTGTAGTGCTCGATAATTACTGTTTGATGAAATGTTTTAGAGGTAACATGGAATATGCTGGGGACCGTACTTTAATTATGTTTCTTTTCTTTTCCTCCCTGGCAGTTAAACGAGGCCAAAAGTCCTTTCCAGAGAACCTTTGTTAACCAGGTAACTACTACACTTTGTGAAGAGCAACGTATGGCACATGAGTGTTTTCTATCGTTCATAACTGAATGTTGGCAGATTTGATAAGTTTTCTGCAACGTCCACTTCCAAACTTTACTGAGTACTGCTTTCTGTGCACGACTTATTTACAGATTTGATAGGTTCTTCGTGGATGCCATTGAACTTTCTTTTTAGTTAACGATTTTCCTTCTTGAATTCAACCCTCCTTCTATCAACTGTTGGAGAAGAATCCCTATGTTGGAAGCCACCTATTAATGGTTTATAACATATTATTAATTTAGGTGTCACTCGAGTTATTTTAACCTTTTGATTTTCAACTTTTCTTTTTGTGTTCAACATGTCTACGCATGATTGCATCTCATAAATACTAGTTGTTTTATTGTTTGGGAGATTTTCACAGGTAAAGCGATGTGCAGAGATGTCAAGGAAGCTGAGATTTTTCAAAGATCAAATCAGTAAAGCTGGTGTACTGGCATCTACTCGGCCAATTCTTCAAGAACACATTGAGCTAGAGGATTTAGAGGTAGATTTCAAGCATTACCCTTTTCCTCTTCAATAAATGCTTTGTTAGTTTGAGGTTATATAAGGTTCCCATAGGTGTCTACTGCTTGACTGCATAGCTGGGTCAGCAATAAAATATTAATAAGAGGACTCAAAATTCAATGAATTTTTGTGCTCCTTTTGTAGACTTTGTTTATGGAAAATGATCTATAATGTTGGGATTTTTCGTTGATTAGGCCTTTTCCTTGCCTCCTGAGTTGGTGAACTCCTCCCCTCTTTATTCTTTCATTCTTCTTAAGCGTTTTGATTCCACTTATACATTGTTTGCAAACCCGTATCTCATTTCAAAGTATATAGCCTTACTGACACGAATAAATGGAAACGGTCTCTTTAGCTTGTTAGGACTGCTTTCTTTCAGCATTTAATTTCAATTTCCTTGTTTTATTATTGTCAGATACGACTAGCCGATCATGAGCATGAACTGATTGAAATGAATTCCAACAGTGAGAAACTTCGACAGTCATATAATGAACTCTTAGAATTCAAGGTGGTATTGCAAAAGGTAAATTACTCGACATCTTTATCCTCCCCTTCATTTTTTTCATGAATATGAACTTGGTTTTGGTAATGTACTACTGTGATCTTATAATATTTTTATCCCTAGAACTTAAATTAGTTGAGACCAGCTATTGATCTTTTTCACTTTTTTTTTGGGCAGCTTTAATATTTTTTTATCTGGCAATTTCAGGCAAGTGTATTTCTGGTGTCCAGTAGTAGCCATTCAGTCTCAGAAGAAAGGGAGTTGAATGAAAATGTTTTCATGAATGATAACTATGTTGACGATGGATTACCACTTGAGGTAGATTTTTCTTACTTCAATCAATGCAACTCCTGAGGCAATCTGATACCTGCATTATTTTGTAGGAAATGAGACCTGGACCGTCCAGTCAATCTGGTTTGAGATTTATTTGTGGTATTATTTGTAAATCCAAAGTTCTTAGATTTGAAAGGATGCTGTTTCGTGCAACAAGGGGCAATATGCTTTTCAATCAGGCACCAGCAGATATACAGATCATGGATCCCATATCTACGGAAATGGTCTTCTCCGTACTCTTGCCTTGTTTTGGTTTTAAGATTTACGCATATTGTGCAACCCCCCCCTTTTTTTTTATGCATGTTCCCATCTGCTTTATTGTGGTTATTTATCATGAAATGATGTGTTTTGTTGAACTTTGGTTTCCTTAAGAATTGTTTATTAACCAGATGCCTCTTGCATCATTTACTCTGAAATGTCTTCTGTTCTGAGAATTCTCTGAAGGAATCAGGGAAGAAAATTGCATGCAATAAGTTTCATCAGCATACTTTACAAAGAAAACTAGGTCCATACCAAGGAGAAATTTGTTTTCCTAGTCTTCATGTGGAGAAAGTGAATTATTTGAAAACAATTGTTTCTAATTCCCAGCTCTTTTATCAACTATTTTTTGGAATAAATATTTTCACCAAGGAATTTTATTTATGCCTATGTGCTTATCATTGCAGGTTGAGAAAACAGTATTTGTAGTGTTTTTCTCTGGGGAGCAAGCCAGAAATAAAGTTCTGAAGATCTGTGAGGCTTTTGGAGCAAATTGCTATCCTGTTCCTGAAGATATAACCAAACAAAGGAAGATAACTAGAGAAGTGAGTTGCTTTTTTGAAAGGTTGTTGAAAAAAAATTGCATAGTTGATCTATATTTCGTCTTTCTTAATTTGGAGAAAAATATATGTTTCTGGTTCTAATAAAACAGTAGCGAACTTCATTCTGCCGTCCCTTTATTTGAATAGGCAATGCATCAATGACAAACTATTAATCTCTACTAGAAAGGAATTAAATCTTGGCCTACTTTCAATGGCATTGGCTCTAAGTATTTGAAACACATTAATTAATATAACTTAATTCTGCAACTTTCTGCACATTTTTTTTTTATTTCATCACAAAAGTATTGTTGACCCCTCAATTTGTATGCTTTTGGCTGCAGGTTTCATCTCGCCTCATTGAACTTGAAGCCACTTTAGATGCTGGGATCCGTCACCGAAATGAGGCTCTTGCATCGATGGGGTTTCACTTGATTAAATGGATGAATATGGTAAGATGTAATAGAGTGACTTTTCTCCCTTGATTTGAAACTTCTTTCAATTTTGGAAGTGTGCATATTAATAAGCTTCTAATTAATGGGCCTCCCATTTTTTCTCAGGTAAGAAGGGAAAAGGCTGTATATGATACACTGAACATGTTGAATTTTGATGTCACTAAAAAATGTCTTGTTGGAGAAGGCTGGTGCCCAATCTTTGCAAAATCTCAGGTAGCTTGTTACACTAATACATTAAAAAATATTTTGTGATATTGGTTAACCTAACTTTGCAGTTGAACATATTGTTTGTTGTCCTATTTCGTGGAACCTTTCTCTAGTTAACGGTACAAAAAAATTTATTCTTAATAATTTGGTAGATTCAAGAGGCACTTCAACGAGCAACATTTGATAGCAGTTCACAAGTGGGCATAATATTTCATGTGATGGATACGGTTGAATCCCCTCCTACATATTTTAGAACAAACCGTTTGACAAATGCTTTTCAGGAAATTGTTGATGCCTATGGGTAAGTTTCTTGTCAAGATTTGAAATATTAAGGCTGTGTCTAATAATGATTTTGCTTTCACTTTTCTGTTTTTAAATATGTACTTGTTTACTCTTGATGTCTTTCCCATCTTTTTTTCATCTTTCTTAAAAATACGCTTGAATTAGAAGCCAAATTTTGAAAACTTCTAAAAACATTACTTTTTATTTTTAAAGTTTAGCATAGATTTTTGGAAGATTTTTTATAAAAAAGATCATTTGTAAACGTTCTTAAAATGTAGATAACAAAACAAAAAAAATATAGTAGTGGGAGTAGTATTACAAGCTTAATATTAAAAAAAAAAAACAAAAACAAAATAGTTATAGAATGAGACCTAGATTAGTTTGTTTATAAGTTCAATAACTAATAACCTTTTCACGTTCTGCAAGCAAAGCAGAATGAATAAGTGAAATATATCAGCATTGACAGGTACTGTGGTTTGACTCTATGAAAATTGCAACGAAAATATCCACATCTTCGGAAATCTTGGGAAAAGTCACAAAGGATTGTGAACTGGAATAAAAAATACGACATTGAGGTAGGTTCTAGACAGTCGTTGAAATCCAAATTACAATACTATTTAGGATGACATCAAGTTAGAGGAGTGATTTGATGAGGCGTATTAGGAAATGACCTCTGTGAGCAGTAAGTGCGATGATGTGCCAGTGTTTGTATCGGTGCAAGTATTAGGCTGTCGTATCATTCTCCTTTATAGTCCTTGGTGCATCTACGTGGCTTGTAACCACTAAATTTGTGGTACATATTGTTTTTTGATAAATTATATACTTTGTCTTCAAATGCCGACATATACTTACTAATTAGAATTGCAGTTTGTGGGCATGGTCTAACAGATACATTTCTCGTCATATCTATTATACATCTAGTTCTACTAATTGTAGTTTGAGTGTAACATTCTAATTTGCGATTGCAGTGTTGCTAGATATCAAGAAGCAAATCCTGCAGTTTACACTGTTATTACATTTCCGTTCCTATTCGCAGTGATGTTTGGGGATTGGGGTCATGGAATATGCTTGTTGCTTGGAGCTTTATTTCTTATAGCTCGTGAGAGTAAGCTCAATAATCAGGTAAACAATCTTTTTCTCAAGTAAGCTCAATAGTCAGGTAAACAATCTTTTTCTTCAAGTAAGCTCAATTCCTTTTATTATTATTATTTTTTTTTGCAGAAAATGTTGACTGAAAATTGTGTTTCGTTTTTAAACACGAGACTTTTTTAATTTCATTTTCTCTCTCATGGAAAGAAAATAGTTGCCTTTCGAACCCAACATTCTTAAAGAATAGTTTTTTCAAATAAATTTTTTTTGTCCTCATTGTTAGTTATTTCGGTGTAGATGAAAGAAATCCGTAGAATCAGTTAACATACCCTGCCGATTATCTCTTGCTTTTCTTGAAAAAAAAAAAGAAAAAGAAAAGGAAAAAAAAAGAGAACACCTGTGAAGCTGATGCTGTAACGAACACTCACCCGGGGAGTTCTTAAATCGTGTGACCAACCTTCCTCCACTATTATCGCCAACCATGATGAAGTGTTGCTTAGATATCAGTTAAGAGAGCTGCATGCTTAAGAAAACCATTGCTTCTGATTCCAATCCAATAAAACTGTTGACGAAGTTGACAAAAAAAGGTCTTTACTACCATGTCCTATCCACAAATGGATTTTTTCACCTTCGGTTGACACTCATCTTTGAGAGGAACATCTACAGAAACTAACCTTTTCGGATGACAATGATTTGAATTTGACGATTACTTAATAATTATCTGAGAACTGTTTAACTGAAATAGGTACTTGTCTGGAACGTTATTAGTTTGCTTCAGTAATCTACCTGATTCTTAATAGATATCAAATAATCTCCAGTCTCTGGACTACCTATTTTGTAATTAGGTATCCTATGTGTGGTCACTGGTCTCACATTACCTAATATACGTATCTCATTGTTACCAGAAATTGGGAAGCTTTATGGAGATGCTATTTGGTGGACGCTATGTTCTTCTTTTGATGTCCCTCTTTTCAATTTATTGTGGGTTGATCTACAATGAGTTCTTCTCTGTTCCGTATCATATATTTGGTGCATCTGCTTACAAGTGTCGAGATAATTCATGCAGGTGATTCTTTGTTTCCTTGTATAATTTTTATGGTTAAGGAGGCAATCTACCATCTGTTTATTCTGAAGGTTGTTAATTGTTTTTCACTTGTTGATTTTGAATTTGTTGATTATTGGCAGTGATGCATACACTGTTGGGTTAGTTAAATACCGTGATGCCTACCCGTTTGGTGTTGACCCGAGTTGGCGTGGAAGTCGTTCAGAACTTCCTTTTCTGAACTCTCTTAAAATGAAGTTGTCTATCTTGTTGGGTATTGCCCAAATGAACTTAGGGATCATATTGAGTTATTTTAACGCACGTTTTATTGGAAGCTCGATTGATATCAGGTCTCTACTTTCTCCTTCAGTTCATCACGTTTGTCCTTCCTTCAAAATGAATTTCTGTCGCACTTTAAAAAGAAATTATCTTAAAAAGAAATTATCTGTATGCTATATTATCAGGTACCAGTTTGTACCACAAGTGATCTTTCTTAACAGCCTTTTTGGATATCTTTCTCTTCTCATTGTCATCAAGTGGTGCACTGGATCTCAAGCTGACCTCTACCATGTGATGATTTACATGTTTTTGAGCCCATTTGATGATCTTGGAGAGAACGAATTGTTTTGGGGCCAAAGACCACTTCAAGTATGATCTCTAGCTCTGGTTTCTGATGTTCCTGACAAGGTAAGCTTAATGTTAACCTTTGTAATGCTCACTATTGCAGGTTATCTTGTTGATATTGGCTATAGTTGCAGTGCCTTGGATGCTTTTTCCTAAGCCCTTTGTCTTGAAAAAGATTCATACAGAGGTATGCTGGATCTTACAGCTTTTAATACCTTCCTGTGGTATCTCAGACAGCCTTTTTGAATTGATTTAAAATGTCGTCTTCTGATTAGTTAAGCTGGTATTTGTTTCCTTTCGAGTTAGATTTTTCTGCTAGTTACTTACCTAAGATACATTCCAGAGATTTCAAGGTCGTACTTATGGGGTGCTTGGATCCTCTGAGGTAGATCTTGAGATGGAACCTAATTCGGCAAAGGAACACCAAGAGGATTTCAATTTTAGCGAGATCTTTGTTCACCAAATGATTCACTCCATAGAATTTGTCTTGGGTGCAGTTTCAAATACAGCATCATATCTTCGACTTTGGGCTTTAAGGTACTCCACGGTGTTGTCGCTATTTCTTGGGAACCTCCAGCTATCTCATAATTATTCAACTATGTAGCTGAGCTTCGAAATTTTAGTTACATTAAATAATAATGTGAATAGATGATAGCTGAGCCTTATATTTGTTGTTTTGTACAGCTTGGCGCACTCAGAACTGTCAACAGTTTTCTATGAGAAAGTTCTTCTCCTAGCTTGGGGGTAAGTTTAAAATTTCCTTGTTATAATTCTTCATAGTCACCACCTCAAACATGCATAATGAAGGAAATACAACGGATCTTTAAACTCGTAAAATACATGGCACATAGTTATCTCCTCTTAAGCACAAAGACTAGAATGATATGACTAGAAAAGCATTTAAAACTTGATCAAAAAACCAACATCTGTTCAAGAAGCTATAGAGTCAATTACAAAAGGTACTAGTTTGAAAGTCTGGTTGGAATTGAGTTACTTTTAAATTTACATTATATGCAACATAAGCCCCTAGAGTACTAAACATAATAGGACTAGTTTGATAATGGTAGGGAGTCGACCAAGATCTCTCTTTTTTTTTTTTTTCTTTTTTGGTAGTAGAAGGGTATAAAAATGAGCTCCAAAAGATCCATTGCCAAGTGATCGAGTTTAGTTAAAATTTGCACCCATGTAAGTTGTGGAAAAGGAGAGCAAGAAAGAGTAGCAAAATGAAAGGGGGTTAGGGTGCCCAAAATTATTGTATTTATGGAATGTCTGTCATGTTGTAGTACTGATACTGTTCTGGCAATTCAATAGGTATGACAGCTTTGTCATCCGGATGATTGGTTTAGCTGTTTTTTCCTTTGCCACTGCTTTCATACTTCTTATGATGGAGACCCTTAGTGCCTTCCTTCATGCCTTGCGTCTTCATTGGGTTGAGTTTCAAAATAAATTCTACCATGGTGATGGCCACAAGTTCAAACCATTTTCCTTTGCCTCCAACGAGGATGAAGATTAAGCGACCCACTGCAGTTCTTCGTAAGAGCAAGAGCTAAGAGATCGAGCGATGGACCTAAAAAACTAACATTATAGAAAGAAAAAGAAAAAGAAAAAAAAAGACCATTTTGTTTGGCAGAGTATTAGTAATACTTTGATCATCTGACTGTTGCGATCCCCAATTTTGACTTAGAAACATGAAATCCTGCCTCATTCCTTGGATCTGCTCACCTGAAAAGCGTTCAGCTTGCAACCATGGCAATCTTTCTTCAAGATATATATAGATTTTTTCCTTTTTTTTTTTTTTTCTTTCCTTTCATATTTTTATATCAAAAGTTAAGTCTTAGTTCAGTTGATGTAAAGAAGAGGAGGTGGGTATCTTCTATCATACATCTTGTAATTTGGGTTCTTGTGTAGGAATTTACATGAACATGAACATGAACGCACAAAAGCTTGTGTGAATTTTTTCAGGTACTTGTGCCTTTATTTTTCTTTCTATTTCCATAATGTAATTGTTTATTGCTCTCCGAGTTTCCACAAATGTTGTAGGATTTTATCATTTGCGGCCATCAATGTATCGATTTCAATAAGAAGATTAAACCATCGACCTTGGAATTGTGATTATTATATTCCACTTACTTCAAATTGACCTAATATGGTTATATTTATTATTCCAGCACATTTTAATTTCAGATGGAGAAGGAGATTATCTATGATAAGTGAATGTAGTGATGTCCACGAGGTGAGATTGGGAAGCCTTTATCGTCCCCATCTGTCTCGTTTAACTAACTAAAAGAAATTGATTTCCACTTCTCAGATTTCTGGTTGAAATAAAGATTTTTCATCCCGTTTCAAGCCAGGTCTCCAACCTTTCAAGTTAAATAGACATATGGTTTGACGGGATTAAGTTTAGCATTAAATTTGTATAAAAAGAATGTGCTACTAACGTACTATTTTAACATTTAGAATTTAATACCTCAATCTAAAAGGAGTATATATTTCACACGTCATTTTAGTTTAATTCATATGATATTCTCCTATCCACTGCAAAGCCATAATGTGGGATTGGGCAAGAAATTTTGGAAGGTTTTAGTATCCTTCTAGGTCAAAACCAAAATTATGCCATTGTATGATGATTTGAAAAATTATTTGATGAGATACGTCACGACAGTTTTTACATCGTTATATGTGCGATAGAAGAATTGTAAAACTATTTTGTATTTTATTCTTGTATCGAGGGATTATTAGAGAATAAACATACTATTAAATCTATATCCAACAATTATTAAGAGACAGCTATATTGTGACAGACTCATTGAATAATTTGTTTGTTATTAGATTAAAAAAGTCAATTATTATTTTCTAACTTCATATTTACTCGTTTCTAACTTCAACTACTTGTCCAGTTAAAACTAAGTATGTGAAATTTTTTTACTAAATAATTTATTTTAAAAAATCAAATAAAACTATTAAAATAAATTTAATTAACTCTGACTCCCAAGTCAATTTTAATAAGAGTTGTACATTGAACCCAACAATTAAAAACTCTAACCAAGCCAATCCAAATTATAAGAGTTGAGTTGAGTTAATTTTCTAAAACCAAATAAATTCGATTTAAATTTCGAGTTCATTAGACAAAATCTTGGATTGACCCAAAACGAACAAAACATATTAAGATACCTTGCGTATTACGCTCGAATCTCTCTATTAATTTATCATTTTATTTTTGTTGAGAAAAGCAAATATAATTTTTTATGATTAAAAAAAAAAACTCAATATTTCATATTATTTATAATATTACACAAAAATAACTATTCATATATTTTATACTATTTTTAAATATATTATTTATAATAAAAATAAATTAAGAAACAACTCCAAATGAGTCGAGCCTCGATTAAGGGGAAGCTCACTTTGTTCGAGGGGAGGTGTTGGATGATCAAAGTCCCACTTCGGCTAATTTAGGGAATGATCATGGGTTTATAAGTGAGGAATACTAACTTCATTGGTATGAAACCTTTTGTTGAAACCCGAAGTAAAGCCATGAAAGCTTATGCTCAAAGTGGACAATATCATACCATTGTAGAGAGCCATAGTTATTATTATTATTATGCATTTTATATCATTATATTGATATATTAGGAAAGTCATTCTTTATTTTTACAGTAAAAATAATTTTCGTATGTACGAGTTTAAAACTAAGTTTGACTTAGGATAACGTACCAGTCTTTCCTTAAAATTAAATTTATTGATTGAAGTCAAAAGAACACCGTCCTTGCCGCCCACGTATTCATATTTCAACTCAATAATCAAGTCTCCTATTAGAACGGAGGTTTTATTTAAGATAATTAAAAATAAAAGGTTCAAAAATAAAAATAAAATGAGTGTACCTATTAAAATATTTTTAACTAATTAAATTTTAATTTAATTTTCATTCATTAAAATAATCTTACAGAATATTTTTCGTCACGTTTTATTTTTAAAACTTAAAAAAAAATATAGATATGTATTAAAGCTCGTAAAATTAAGACATAATTAAGAACTTTTAATCATTTTATCTCTCTTTTTTTTCCTATAAATACATTCCTCGAAGCCAATCTTATTGCACATTCCTTTGCTTCTTATTCATTTTCTCCAAAAATTATGCGAAATTCAAGTCTGCCACAAAAAAGAGGCAATGTCGTCAAAGCTCAAATTTTCAAGAGCGTTTATAATTTGATGCTGTCTCTAATGAATTCCATGTCAGAATTAGCTTCCGAGAAGAAGCTCGTTTCATAAAAGAGTTAGTCCGTGAGCTAGATTCCAAATGCTCGTTGTTAATTATGAAATTTGTAGATGACGATGTTATTAAAGGAATAAATATAATGAAAATAAAATAAATTAAAATTGCTCCTTTATTTTTCTTTTAATTTTTAAATTATATGAATCTGCCTCAAATTATATATATATATATATATATATATATATTTATTTATTATCTAAGAAAATGACTAAAATGTCCTTATAATAGCGACGTGGCGGGTAATTTAATATAAAATTATTTTTAAAAAACTTCACCCGACCCGCCTTATCTTCACCCGACCGGCCTCCCCTTATCTTTTTCCCTCCAACTCTCTGTTTCATCTTCTCCACCTTCTTTCTAACCCCTCGTTCCCGGCTTAAACCCTCCACGTTCAGCAGAGGTCAACCGGAATTTGATCAGCCATATGGTTTGAAATTCTCCTACGGCCAGCATGGTGGAACTTGTATCAATCGTGGTTTTGCCCACAAGACTGGATAATGTTATTGCTACCAGGTATATCCTTTGCCTTTGGTCACGAACCATTTGAATTCTGAAATGAAGAGGATAGCTTGTGCTTTGATTCTTCATTTCATACTGATTACTTGCTCTGTATGCTTGTAAGCGGAACATTTGCTTTAAAGTTCAAACGCCATCGTTGAATTTTTCTTTTGTAGTCTAAAATTAGGTTAGAACCGATGGCGGTTATATGCAATGTATGGACTATGTTAGAATTCACTATTGGAACCAGAAGTGAAGCTAATATGTTTGATGATAGGTTATGATAAATTTAATGGATAATTTATGCTCTTTTGACGAACTAGACATTAGGTAAGAGTGAATTATGATGCCAAAGAATTGTATTCTTGTTGTTTTGTTTAGTTTTCCTAAAGAAAGTAAAATGGATCTAAGAAAAGTGTATGATCTGGGCTTCTTAAATTTTTCAAAAGTAAAGATCTATGCTCCATGATTTCTTCATATTTCCGACAAACTAGACTTAACTTGGTATGCTTAATTTTTGTTCTTTCTCTGTCTCTGTGCTTCAGGCCTAATTTTCATTTCTCCTCCCCCGTTTCTGGAATATGCCGTTTCCCATTCCCCACTAGTGCAATTGTTCCCTATGTAAAAGAATCCGTGCCACACCTCTGTCCTCAAGCCTCGCTTCGCGCTTCTACTTCTTTCTCCAAAAATTCTGTGGGTAAAGAGAGCAGTTCTGTTTTAGTTTCTTCCATTGAACCAATACCAAAGATTGACAAGAGTGGGAGATTTTGTAGCCCCAGAGCTGCTAGAGAGCTTGCTTTGTAAGATCCACAACTTCCTTCTCACTTATTATTTCCTATATATATTTATTTATTTATTTATTTATGGATATCCCTTCTGTCTGCCTATGCAGAAAGTTGGTCTAGTCACTAGGAATATGCTCTAAGAATTTGTTTAATTTGAAGACGTGTAATCAATTCTAATCCTGCTAGATCATTCAATCACAGGTCAATTATTTATGCATCTTGTTTAGAAGGCTCTGATCCCGTTCGACTCTTTGAGAAGCGGTTGAATGCTCGTCTAGGTAATCTTTGGTCGAGATGTGGTGCTCTGCTGCTCCATATACAATTTGATGCTTTTTTATTGTTTTGGAGAAATAGAAGTCACGTCTTTAACTAAAAAATGACACCAACTTCTTACTTTATCCATTCATACAATTCAGAACCGGGATATGAATTTGACAAGACATCATTGATGGAATACAACCATATGAGCTTTGGTGGGCCGCCAGTTACTGTGGAAACAGCTGAAGAAGCAGATGAGCTTCTACGTAAGGATGAAAAGGATTCTGCAATCGGTAAATAGTTTTGTGGCTTTTGTATGTATATTATTTGTCCTTATTTCACTCATTACTTTGTTCTAAAAGCACAATTGGGCAGTATTATATGCTTCTCCGCTTTCAATTAGAGATGCCTTTTCTTCATACCATGTACGAAAAGAATTTGAGGGGAAAATCCATCTTCAATTCAAAGTGATATCATGACTCGTGAGATCTGTTGGTCTCGTTTTCTTTTAGATGGAGTTTGTAAACAAGCAGTAGAGAACAAAAACTTTTTGACAAACATCTTGAACGCTAACTCTTGGAGACTAACCTAGATTTGGTTCTAAAATCAATAACACATTGCTTGAACTCTTCAAGAAATATGCAAGCGAAAGTTTTATTTCTATTTGTATATCGATCTGCCAACGTTTATCTCTTTATGCACCACATAAATTGTTGTGACATATTGTAATTACTAACAAACTACTGTCTATAGCTTCTCCTTCTATATGTTTTCATTATAGTTGTAAATACAGTCTTGTCGAACCTCAAAAGTCCCATTTCATTGCTTTTAGTGATAGCTAAGTTCTGTTTCCTGCTTGACTGTATCTCAGAGGCAGAAATCCTTGCGGCCCCTCCAAAGGTTGTCTACAGCAAACTGATCTTACGGTAAATGTGGTTTTTATTTCTCTGCTTTTGGCAGAGGATGATCTGATGAAAATTTAGTATGAATTTCATGTATTTTATCAATGTTATTATTTATTGGGTGATATAAGGTCAGTCGTCATCTTCATGGTTTTTCAGGTTTACACGAAAACTTTTGGTTGCAGTTGTGGATAGATGGGACAGTCACGTGCTTAAAATTGATAAAGTCATTCCTTCAACTTGGAAGGTTCGTAAAGAGCTTTATGCTACTTTTGTTTTCTGATTTTTCTCTTCTCTTCTAG